TTTATTATCAACACCGAGCAAAACTTAGAGATATAATTGTTCTCTCTGTGTGGTGATTAAGGTATCAAAGATAAGACGTATACTTAATAAACAAATAAAGATTTACATTTCAAAGCAGAAGAAATGTCAGTGAATGTAATGATGCTGCTGTTATTTTTTAATAATTTTGAAGGGGCGCGGGGGTGGGGGGTGGGGGTAGGGGAGTTCTGAATTTGCATTTTAATGTTCAGAATCAATTTACTGGAGTAGTTTAAGTTTTGTAATTGTTATTGTGAATCCTCTTGTTTAAGTGTTCCGAAATCCCCTGTGTATAAAATCAAAATGTATTTAAACGACTTTCACTAAAATCGCTAAGATCCACAAAACAACAAGTCAATTAATACAAGGCGGAAACAGTAATGTGATAAGCTCTGCCTATCACAGCATTAACACTAAATGTCACTTCTCCGAGCTGTTTGTTTTAAACGTGAGTTCAGAGACAGTTTTCATAAAACAAAAGACGCCTTAAACAGGATAATGAAAACATTCTGAAATCTGTCGGGTAATGATGAAAGTAGACTGTGTCTGAATAAAACTTAACGATACTACGTCTGATCAAGACTAAAAGCGACCACATCTGATAAATACTAAAAGTGACTACATCTGATTAAGACAAAACCCGACTACATCTGATTAAGACAAAACCCGACTACATCTGATTAAGACAAAACCCGACTACATCTGATTAAGACAAAACCCGACTACATCTTATTAAGACAAAACCCGACTACATCTGATTAAGACAAAACCCGACTACATCTGATTAAGACAAAACCCGACTACATCTGATTAAGACAAAACCCGACTACATCTTATTAAGACAAAACCCGACTACATCTTATTAAGACAAAACCCGACTACATCTGATTAAGACAAAACCCGACTACATCTGATTCAGACTAAAAGTGACTACATCTGATAAAAACTTAAGGTTACTGCGCTTGATATATACTTAAGATGACTTTGATAAAGACTACAGACGACTGCGTCTGGTAGAGACTTAAGTCGACGCTCTTTTATAAAGAAAAATATCTTACCAGTCTATTAGAGTCTGAAGTCGACTCCATAGGACTAAGACAGATGTTAACTCCGTATGATAAAGGCTTAAGTCGACTCCGTATGATAAAGACTAAAGTCGACTCCGTATGATGAAGACTTAAGTCGACTCCGTATGATAGAGACTAAAGTCGACTCCGTATGATGAAGACTAAAGTCGACTCCGTATGATAAAGACTAAAGTCGACTCCGTATGAAAAAGACTGAAGTCGACTCCGTATGATAAAGGCTAAAGTCGACTCCGTATGATAAAGACAGAAGTCGACTCCGTATGATAAAGACTAAAGTCGACTCCGTATGATATAGACAGAAGTCGAATCCGTATGATGAAGACTAAAGTCGACTCCGTATGATAAAGACTAAAGTCGACTCCGTATGATAAAGACTAAAGTCGACTCCGTATGATAAAGACTAAAGTCGACTCCGTATGATGAAGACTAAAGTCGACTCTGTATGATAACGACTAAAGTCGACTCCGTATGATAAAGACAGAAGTCGACTCCGTATGATAAAGACAGAAGTCGAATCCGTATGATGAAGACTAAAGTCGAGTGCGTATGATAAAGACTGAAGTCGACTCCGTATGATAAAGACAGAAGTCGACTCCGTATGATAAAGACTAAAGTCGACTCTGTATGATAACGACTAAAGTCGACTCCGTATGATAAAGAATGAAATCGACTCCGTATGATGAAGTCTAAAGTCGACTCCGTATGATAGAGGCTAAAGTCGACTCCGTATGATGAAGTCTAAAGTCGAGTGCGTATGATAAAGACTAAAGTCGACTCCGTATGATAAAGACTAAAGTCGACTCCGTATGATAAAATATAAAGTCGACTCCGTATGATAAAGACTGAAGTCGACTCCGCGTGATAGAGACTAAAGTCGACTCTGTACCAATCTAATCTATTCCCGTGGTCCAATCACAACAAACACAGACATAAAATTGAATCATGCACGTTGAAGTCTAACGAGAAATATTTTAAATGTCAGGAAGGAATTGATAAAATTTAATTTGCTCAATCGACTTAATGCAGTTTCCAGAAAAAACATATTAAATGCCGCCTAAAGCTCTGAATATGATACTTAACCACAGCGGTTACTGTTTTACTTTAACACATTCCCGTGGACGCCATTTCTCGTTACGGAGAACGTTATCATTCAGCTTTACATGAGTATGTTTATGAGACAGATTCACAAAAGTTAGGTGGTAAATATTATACTTATTTAACGTGAGTCACCCAACTGATGATAATATCTCGTCCGTTATATGTAGATAGATTCCAGGTTATTACCAACATTTAAAACGATAACGGTGTTTATGAGGTCGATTTGGTTCGTTCTGAACTTTAATAATGCCGAGTATTAGAATCAGCAATATAATTGAGATTTCACGTTCCATTTAATAAATTGAAATTAAATTTCTATGGCAATATACTGAACATTTAAAGTAATTTAAAGTAGACTGGTGCGTTTATTTTTAACGAATTCAAACAGAATTCTGGATTATATTACACATACAGTGTAAAGGTATACACAAGGAGCTTAGCTCTCCCTCCCTTCCGGTCACGGTATATGTTTCTCAGAAAGCCAGGTCTGTGCTGTGTGTCGGCCCGACACTCTACTCTAATTGGACTCGACGGCATGCGACGGACCTTCCTTATGTTGTTTAGTCATGTACTGCAAGGAGACCCTGTCACAGAATGACTCTTGATGTTCATGGGGCGTACACACAGCAAAACAAAAAATATTACAGTGCAATATGAACAATCACATTTTTTTCGAACTGTAAAGGGCGATAATATTTTAAGTTAATAAATATCTGATAGAAGTTTATTAAAACTTTGTCGGCATTTATACCCGTTCTGAAATTGCAGTATAAACTCTGTTTGTATACATGAATGTATAATACCAACATATATACTTTTTTTTTCTATTTTCAGTACAATGCACCGATTCTACCAGACATCCATCGATATCTATTTTTAGTGAAGATATCAATGAAAAATTAAGTATAAAATTTCCTGCCGTTAATTAAATAAATATTGAAACCCATGTCACATCTATATATAATTGTTTGTATAACTTACTGTGACATATGTTTATATGTTGTAGGTTATACGTGTGAACCAGTCATTCTGAAAAAAGTGGGCGGAACGACACTAACACGATTTTCTGTGGACATCAGAAGGACATTCATCCTTAATGTTTACAGCCACGCCCATCACCTTTACCTTTAAATCTAACTCGGGGTCATGACCTCTACAAACTCTACAAAAGAATTGGTGATCGTGACATATTACCCACAATTCCTGGAGCTATTTCAAAAGTCAGCGGGGGATTTTGTTTGACGGAAAAGCGGAGAAACCTTCCAGTGTGATCTGAAAGTTTGTGAATAAAGGGAGAAAAGAAGTGAAAACATTTAATGATAAAGTTTTGATATTGACTTTGTATCTTATGGAATAACGTAATGAAAGTCCACGCTTACATGACAAAACACGGTCGTTCTCAATTCAATGCAATTTTTGCACTGTGAAATTTCCTATTCGACTGAAATACGTTTTGAAAAATATCAGTGTTGTATTTGGAATAAGTGGTCAATGACAACGAGAAATTGAGAAATATATTGATTTATACAAGAAGGTAAGGAATACCAAACATTTAAGTTAATGAAGTGTAAAGCAGGAATTTGTACATGTGCGAAATTCCTGGCGTCAGTTAATTACATTCTCGCTGATTTTGATACCATTTGCTGAATCACTTTGTCAGTAGTGTTCCAGTTTTTAGGATTCATAATCTGCACAAAACGTTCGATTTGCCTAACAATATAAAAATGGCTGACATGAAATTCTGTTACAAACAATAGCGCGAATTAATGCGACCACGACTCCGAAAAAACTCATTATCGACGTTCATACTTGTATACGCACGAAGTAGAGTGTCAGTCATAGTGCGCTTTATATTAAATATTTAAATAAAACATATATATTTACCGCAATATATATATATATATGTGTGTGTGTGTGTATGTGTGTGTGTGTATGTGTGTGAGTACAAATAATGAGTCTTACGGAATTTTAAAAAAGTGACATCTGTTTATAAAGAAAACATAATAATAACATCAAACGCCCATGAAAGTTGTAATAATGTGTTAACTAAACTCAAATTAAGCGATATAAACATCTGTCACGTGTTCAAAGTTTCCAAAATTTCATGGCGACTGTTGAATAAGGTTTTATTGACTCGCTGTTCATGCGTGTTTATTGACAGCTGTCAGTGACAATTCTTCAACATAACTGCGATGTGTTCGAGGATTACTGTCCATCTTCAGTGTAACGGGTGCTCGTGTCATATAATCTCTTTGATAGACATTCGTTGAGCTGACGTGACACATGCACGTGGTCACGTGATCCATATTGTCTGTCGTTAACGCAGAGCGTTTAGTACTAATCACCTGATGTTAGCTGAATGGAGTGTACTTTGGATGAATTGGCTTTACTCATCAAATTTATTGGAATAGAAATATAAACCTTTTTGTTAATTGAATTATAATCAACAAGTACATTTTGGATGAATTCTATGATACTTTGATTCATTTCGTTCCCTTTCTAAATTCCATCGGAGCTTGTTTCGGTATCACAGACTGTCCCATTGTGTCTGGAAACTTATTTCAAAACCGTCGATTCGACATGAAATTATTCTCTTCGGGAATTTAAATTGTCACCTAAACAGGATTGCGATAATTGATATTTCTTCATTTGAATTTGGAAATATTTCTTGAATTTGTGATAATATCATCAGCGGATATCATGTTTAATCCGCAAATAATTTGACCAAGAATTGTGTTCCTGGCGGATTTTTAAACTACAGTGTATCCGTGTTAACGCATGTGTCCAAGGATTACCATGGATCAAACGTGGATTATCTGGTTCACCTGCCTGTGTTTGTTCTTTGGAATCGGATATAGCGTCGAAGACGACGATTCCACCATTTCTATAGCAACGCTGGTGCCTTCGGACCCAAGACGTCTGTTTTCTAAAGAACGTGTAGCACCCGCTATGAGTATTGCTGTTGAAAAAGTGAAGGATATGCAACTGCTACCAAATAGAAATTTATCCATCAAATTTGCTGATTCCAACTGTAACGTTGCGGATGGTATCAATGAAGCCATTAATTATTACGTCAGAAAAGAAGTTGACGTATTTTTTGGCCCGTGTTGTGATTACGCTGCTGCCCCCGTTGCTAGGCAAATACGCTATTGGAATATCGCCATGGTAACACCTGGCGCTATGGCGCGTGATTTTACAGTTGCTAAGAAGATTATGTTTAACTTAATGACCCGTGTTGGTCCGAATTTTAGTTCTCTTGTGAATTTCTTAGTAGAAATTTTACTGGTCTTTGAGTGGAAGAAAGTGTTGTTGCTCTATGACCCCGAAGGTCAGAAGAATATTTTTGACCGATATTGTCACATTGCTGCCGATGGAATGCATTACGGGTTCAAAGTTCAACAGGAAATTCCTAATTTGGAACAGAACTATTTTAAGTTCGATGACATCGATGATATATTGTCTGGATTCCAGGCACATGTTGGGACTGAAAATGCAGGTAAGTGCGCATGTTCTTGTTTCTTTGTTGTGTTTTAACGTGTATCATGTATTTCTTCATTTCAGATAACCATTTCCTGTTGACACTGATATCAAATGTGGTGCAGATGATAAATACAATATACTTTCAGTTTTCAGCGATTCAAGTGAAATGCCATAATCATCACTTGAACTAAACTGAAATCTCGTTATGATCACGTAGAATGACGTTGATAAGAACATTGCAGTTCTCTACCTTAATGACAGAATATAACATTGATTCACTGATAAATGCTCTTTATTACTGTAAATAGGACATTTTTTTATATCATTTACAATAGAATAATTGTAATTAACAATTGACAGACACTGTGACTTATCCTATAAATAAACATGTCCTGTTATAGTTGTTTGTCAATATCGTGCAGCTGTTACATTTCTGTGTTGTCACTGGAAACAAGCAAAGTTGTAAACTCCGGCCTGTCAACTTCCCGACTGTCCAAGCTTTCAAATATGTCGTTATCAGCCGGTTTCCCTGTCAATCATTCACCCTCCCACTTGCATATGTTCTCAATGATATTTCGGATATTTTAAACTGGAATATGAACGAAGAATCGGTTTAAAATACAGCAAATCTCGTTATCTCGAATTCATATAACTCGGAGTTCCCGTTTAATTCGAAGTATTCCATCTATCCCGTACAAATTTCACTCTAAACAATTGAATTTACTTGGATAACTCGAGGTTTTCCCTGCCGACTTCTAGACGAATTCGACTGTGTGTATACTGCGCTGTTTATGTGAAAGTAAACGAGATATTATGAAAGAATGTCTGCATTTTCTTTAAAAAAATGTTTTTCGTCTTTGTATATATATTTTCTATTCATGCCTGTAAAAGACCAAAATACCGGACGGAGACTTAAGCTTATTGTATCCACGACTAGGGGTTATATTTAATGGTGTGAGTTGTCTTTCGCTACTATGATGCTGTAGACGTCTCAGACAAACTACGATGTATATGTAAGCTTAACTTTTCATATTTGGCAACCAAAAATGTGATTTATACGTTTTATTGGAAAGTTTACTTTATCCCTGTGAAGTGCATCACTAAGTTCTTAGATGTACCTTTGTACTCTGTAGAATACACACGTGTAAAGGTATGTAGGTAAATCACATACCGTAAACAACTTGTATTTCGCGTGGGATTTATTTTCGCGTAAATACGCAAGGAACCGCAATCACAAATTCAAATTCTTCACGAAAATTCATTCGAAAATAATTGTGGATATCAATCATGTATGTTCTGTCACTGATATCAGAGTCTTGAAGAATTCTTGTCTTCAAAAGGCCATCATTTGCAAATTCGAATTCCTTTTTAATTCACCGTTCGCGAAAACATGCATTCGTTAATATGTATTTATAGGTCAGTTCGCGAAATGAAGTATTCGCGCAATCAAAGTGATTTACGGTATGTGAATCAACCTCGAAAAGTACAAAGTGATGGTATGTTGACATATCGTAGTAATGTGTTTTCGTTTATGTTAAAATGTTTCAGACATAGATTCAAAAATAATCAGGCTACCATTTTATGTGCAGAAATCTTTAAATTACTGAATTAATTGTACCCATAATTCACCAGTCACATTTTAAGCAGTATAAACCTGATGTGAGTTGGATAATTTTATTTCCATTTTTCGACATATTGGTAAGAATTTTGAATCAAATTTTACAAATATAAAAAAGAGTTAACCAAAGGGAGACGACTTTGCCACTATTTCTTTGAAAACTTTGTCTTTAACAGGTATAAAATATCACCGGCGCCGTTGTTGGATTAAACAAGCGTCAACATGTTTGAGCTTTAAAATAAATAAACATGGAAATGTGATCTGTGGAGATAGTTTGCACCTTCTGATATCGAGCTGTGTAACATCACACTACAAAACACATATTGCTTTTAAAAGAAGATTTTAAAATGATATAAAGCTGGCGTCAATGCACGTTTTCTATCAAACACACGATGCACATGATTCAAGCGATATCGCCATACATATGTACTCTTCCACGTGATTGAAGCTTATGTTAATAACATAGAAGTATGTACATTTTTAACTACCATACTAAATCCATGGTTGAAATCGATAACAAATTCAATTTCTATTCTGTATGAATTTAATCTGTAACATATTTTCTTAAATGTTCAACGATTAAAAGATTTTTTTTCTTTTTTATCCTCAAAATGAATATTGCCATTTAATTTCCATTTAATCTTCAGTTTGAATTAAGATTCTGTTGTCAGCTCGGTATTTGCATTGTAGTAGGATATTTAAAATTCATACTTATATTTTTTTATACAACTTTTAAACATAAATAAAATCCCTTACCTTTCACATGATCTAATTGTTGTCGACATATACATGTATTCTGTACGTATTGCGCGTCTCTCCGCTTTAGGCCGGACACAAATGTTGTTCATATTGTAGCGCGAAGATGAAAAAAAAATGATTGCGTCTATGTATTTGAGTTTTGTCAGTTTAGAACTTTTGTGAAGCGGAAGTCCCGTCTGTGTTGTCGGAACATGTAGAGCATGACCATAGATAAGCAGTAGACTTACAAGAAATGTACATTATACATTTAACTAATTGATATATATGGTTAACTGCACACGAAACTACAAACATTGTAGCATTGTGTTTGTCTGGTCTAGAGAAAAATCGTTACATCGCCAGCCTAACAGAATTTCTGGTAAAAGACTTCAATTTAAATATATGTAAGAACAGGGAAACACAGATTACTGTTGAGTGTTCCGACAGAAATCTAACCCGGCCCTGTAACGTGGTCCATTGTTGTTGTACATCACTGCCAATTGAGAGACAGTGACCGTGTTTAACTTTGTATACGTCCCATACAGTCCCTGCTTTCACAAATAAACCTAATATTTCTTAAATGTTTTATTTACTGTGGTGGTTTTATTTAAAATTTTCTCAGCAATCTTGTTTTGTAATTAAATAATACATGTTTATAGTATAATAAAATAAAGGATACACACAGATAAATCAATCATTTAATTGCTAATATTATTGACAAAGGAGAGAGACGTAGTACTAAATGACCTTTAGACATAAGATATACGGAAGATGGAAGTGCACCGTCCGGCACAAACGGTCTATAATTCTTATTTTATTTGTTTTGTTGTATTCCAGCGAACGATGTACCATCCTTATTGATGTATAGACAAGAATATGCACTCAATATTTGGTAACATATCAGCTTATATTTGCACTATAAATATTGTAAGGGTATTTCTGAACGTATACCTCCATTAAGAATCATTTGGATCATTTTGCAGTAGTCTTTCTGTGACCCGATACCATCTCTACAAATTAGAAAAAAAAGTAGTATTGGTCTGTTTTAGTGTATCGCGGATTTGATACAACACTGGAAAGTGTCTGTGTGTTTGCCATACGCCGTATAACTCAATAAGGCTTTACGCCTGGCTTAAAAAAACACATTGATCGAAAAACGCGGGAAAATGTACGAGGCCCGTTTACTTAATTTTCAAAAATTTGCACGAAATTCATGATGTCTGTGAAACAAACATCGATCATATTAACGTGTTAGATAAAACAGGAGAGGGTTAGATCGACGTGTTTAGTAAAGAAATTTCTGTTTCGGATTGAAAAAAAAATATCTCCAAGAGAGTGGCTCTTTATATTTAAATGTGCACATGTAGGCAAATCCTTGTACCGGCCTAACATGGCAATGATCGACTTCCGGAATCCCCAGCTGGGTCGCGGCGGAGGGAATTTGATTAAGACAGGTGCGTGCTGTTTATGATTATCGGCTTGAAATGCCAGCTGAAGTGACTCTTTCTATAAGAACTGACAATTTCGAATTTTAAGAGGAAATAGGGTGTAATAGAAATGTATAAACATCAATTCGGAATATTGTTACCAAATGTTATATGTAGGGTAGGAAATCGTGCTTTTGACGTTCAATTCTACAAACTATATACAATGTCTTTCTTGTGTAATAGGAAAGAGTGATAAAAACATCCTACCGCCATCAAGGTTCGAATTTACGATCCTCCGGCTTCTAGACACTGCACTCTTCGAATAAAGGGAAATTCCGTCTGTGACATGAATTCTTAACATCTACACCACTTCCTTGTTTCCATGTCTTTGCAATCAAAGACAACAACTTTCGTTAGTTTAGTTTTTTTTCTTGTTTTTTCCCCCCAGAGTTATTATATTCTGCAAATACTGGTTATATTCACATACAAATAATATAACCAATAGTGATAACAAGTACACGTTTTCAATCATTGCATTATGATAATAGCCGACAAAATTAAAGCTATTCCAAATCCCTTAATTCCCTTAACAATTTTGTCTTCTTTACGCCCCACTCGACAACATCTCGCTTATGGCCTTGGTGATGATGGGTTCTGTCAAATGACTACTGAGACAAAATAACGCCTAAAAATCGCTATCTTCTTCCCTCTGATTAACGGCCAGATTTCAATGGATCAGCGATAAACTCTGGTAAGCCTGTTCTCAGTATAAGTTGTCTGGATGAGGTGTCATACCACTATTTTATGACATTAAGTGATTTATAGGGGATATGATATTAAGCGATAAATAGGGGTTATGATATTAAGCGATAAATAGGGGTTATGATATTAAGCGATAAATAGGGTTTTGCTATACAGCGATAAATATTGGTTATGATAGTAAGCGATTAATAGGGGTTATGATATTAAGCGATAAATAGTGGTTTTGCTATAAAGCGATAAATAGGGGTTATGATAGTAAGCGATAAATAGGGGCTATGACACTAAGCGATATATGTGGAGTATGACATTAAGTCATATATATTGACTGTGACATAAAGCGATATATGATAAATTTCTGATATACTGTAAAAAAATGTTCTTTCAAGGGGGAGACTATTTTTAAGAATGGAATGAAATCTTGCTAAATAGTATAAATAACAAAAATGATAACCGATGCCATGACTTTGGCAATGGAAACGCCATGTCTTCTTCAAGATTTTGGTAAAGCGTAAAAAAATCAATCATAACAACATATTCTTGTGTTATCCGATTTGAAACTGGACATAGCAGTACAGACAGAGAGAGGGGGAGGGAGGGAGAGAGAGAGAGAGTAAGAGAGAAAGAGAGAGA